ACACACACACACACACACACAGATACACCAAATACAATTAATTTTCATCTAATTATGAAAGCTTTGTTCAAAACTAATGTGTGACAAGCAGATAGAATTTGGAGACGCTTTTGTCTCAAAATAAATGAGGTATTGACTCGTATACCCTCGCAGAGGCTCAAAGAGGTGTTAGAGATGGAATGGGACCCTATAAAGTACATATATAGGAAGAACGTGTACGTTTTAAAGTTCAAAATGGAACCAAATCGGATGACTACATAGTATATAATCGTACTAGACCCGCCATCGGACTAATGGATGCAAATGTATTGCAGAATGGATATACCTCCCTTTGTTGTGATGGCACGATCTGCCTCGATCGTTCCCTCATTTCTCATGCATCTGGATTTATTGACCTTGCCTGGGATGCTGCTGGGCCTCGCTCACGCCCTTCGGAGAGGCGGCTGCCAAGCTGCAGGAATCCTTACATATCGGAATGCGGCTGTGGTCGTCGGCTCAATGTTGCTCTTGCAGTTGTTGTTGCTGGTGTCAACATCAGAAGAACAGCAACAGCAACAGCAATAGCAACAACAACAGCAACATCTAAAGCAACAGCAGCACGATCATGGTCTTGGCTCTGACGCTGAGGCTCTGCTCTGTCGCCGCACGTACAACAACCGACTTACATAGCCGCCGATTAGCCAAGGTAACAAACGAAGAACTGGCCCAGACTCGGGCTCGGACTCGGACAAGCAGAGCCTGAGCCTCAGCTCCAGCAAGGGATCCAAATGGGATCCAAAATGAGCTATCTCACTGCGCAAATCTCTCGCTTCGCTCCGTCTTGGCTGTCGTTTCAGTTGTGTTGTTGTCGTGGCCTTTAAGGGCCTTCCATCTTCGAGCCATGGCTGCCATTTATCGCAAATGCATTGTGGCAGGCCGGACCGCTGCGGCTGTGGCTGTGGCTGTGGCTGCTGCTGCTGCTGCCTGCCCCATCTTTGTCTCGGCTTTTGTTTCATGCTCCATGGCTAATGGCACACAGGCTCCACAGGTTGCCGCGCCGCACTGTCGAGTGTTGTTGCAACATCTTGTCGATGGGCGCCCTGCACTCGAAGACGGAAGACCTCTGGGCCCCAACGAAGACCAGGCCCTACTCCATTCCAGTCCTGGCCACGTGTGCGTTGCTAAAACGTCCGCTTCTCGGACTCCACTGCTCCTTATCTGACCGGAGTGGCATTCACTCTGTTGCCTGTTGCCTGTTGCTGCCTTCGTGCTTTATGCTCGGATTAAATTTAGCAAATCGAAGCGATGCGCTAATTGAACTTGTTGATCCGCATACCTCTCTCTCTCTCTCTCTCTCTCTATCTCTACTGTCTCTTACTGGCTGACAAAATGGCCGCATGATAAACAATGTTTCAGAGCACACAGTAATTTCCATATTTTAAACAGCACAAGCCACACATTGCAAATATTTTGAGGCGCAAGCAACTAAATTATTTGGTGGGTATTTTTAGAGCCAGATACTCGTCTTTCTCCGATATTTGGCGTCCACTGAGAGACCCTCTCAGGGCCCCCGGCTCCACGCTTCCACCGCCGACTCCGTCAAAAGCTCCCCAGCGACTTGGCCGCTCATATTTCACACTTCACGACAAAGCGATTAAAGTCGCGCAAACAATCTGTTATTGGAGTTGTTGCAATTATGTTTACAAAGACATTAAAAGAAACGAAAGGCGAACGGCGAACGGGAAAGGGAAAACACATACGGATACGTACGTAAAGTCGAAAACACGAGAGGCACAGAGCAGAGGCCCCAAAAGCCTCCGAGAGACGCTGTGGCACTCTTTATCCCCATACCCTTTGGCAGAGGCACTTTCGATTTTGAGAGGATATGTGACGGTGTGAAGGGACGATGGCGATTGATCAACCATTTCATTATAGCCATGTTCCTCAATTTTGGAGAATGCGATTTTCAAGATTCGGTCACTCCTCTCATTGGAGGTCTCTTAAGAACTCAACAAAGTTCGAACCAAATTGTAATCCGAATTTAAGGGTATTTACAGCTGCGGCTCTTAAAGCCTGGCTTTCTGTCTGGTTTTGTTTTTGGTTGTTTTTGGTTTTTTTGGGATCTTTGTGTTTTGTTTTTGAAACGTGAGTCGTGCCCCAGCAGCAGCAGCAGCAGCAGAGCCACAGCCACAGCCAGCAGCAACAATTTATCGGGCAGACGACGGCGACAATCAATAAAAAAAATCAGTAAAAAACGAGAAACTTAAGGCAAAAAACTTTTATGCTAAAACGATGAGATGAAGTCAAAGTTTCTGCGTATTTGGCTTTATGGTTGAGGTTTGGGGTTGGGGTTAAAGTTAAGAACCGCCCTGCCCTGCCCTGCCGCCTGACCAATTAGCCAGGCTGTCGTCGGAGGTATGTTCCTGCCGAAAGAGCTACAGCCCTATAGAGCTATCGCAGCGAAATGTGCCGCATCATGGCGAGGCCTCGGCAATTAGCTTTAATTCTAAGCAGCTTTTTACGGCCGTGCGACAAGTCGAATGCTGATGAAGCGATCGATCTGTCATATGTAGCACTCGGCGAACTCGAGCAACTCCACTCCACGTGGTGTTGTAAAGGGCAGCAATCCAATTACGCGGCTTTGGGTGTTAGGGTTGACACGCGCTAGAAGTTGGCCAAAAGCAGAGCTTTAGCCCTGGCTGAGAGGGCTGCATGAGATCTCTTGAAGAAACAAATTCGTTGCGCCCTATGGGCACTCGAGGCAGATCATCCTCCATCCCTCACTGCCTCACTCTGCCCTAGACAATATCGGGACACTTGAGCGCCTCCAGAGCCGATCTTTTGTTACTGTTAATCTGCGTGGCACTTGAAAGTAACGCCTCAGCCTAAGAGCCCATGAGAGCCTCTAACTCTGACTCTGGGACTCGACTCTACTCGCATCGCATCGCCTCGACTACTCTTCTCATCCTCATCCACATCGATGGCGACGGCGATGGCGATGGCGATGATCACGATGATTCTGATTCCGACAACCTGCAGAGCGGGCAGGAGTCGTTTCAAGGGTCCATGTTCTTGAGGCTTTCTTTTGAAATTGGAAAACACAAAAAGATCATAGACAGATGGAATGGTGGGGGGAACATTTCTCTCCGCATGGCATTTTGTACGCTTCATCAAATTTATATGATTCTCGGTCTTCGTCTGTCTCTGTGTATCTGTGTGTCGGGGATTCGGTTTCTTACACCTCTCGAGCGGCGTTTACCTGTGCGAACGGAGTGCCTCAAGTGGTTTGGAGATGCTTTGGAGATGGCTTCGAGATGTTTCTCAGCGCGACTCAGCGCGATTCTCCGTTCTTCGATCTCGTCTCGCGCTTGTCAGTTGCATGCTCTTCGATTTTGACAGATGATTTTGTACGGGTTGGGCTGGGGCCTGGCTTTGATTGGGGTCTGCATAGACGGCTATTAATATGTTTGATTATGGCTGGAGATCGAGATCGACACGAGATGATCGCGGAGAAGAACCTGAACCTCAACCTCAACCTCAGTCTCAGTCTCAGTCTCGACGAACGGCGCTTGAGCTCGTGTGGCTTTCTCCTGACTGCGAAAATGGGAAACGGTTTTCAATTTAAAAGTATTTTCATGCTCTAAGACAATGCTCGACGAGGGACAATGCAACGCCTCTTGAGTCCCAGCGTGGGACTGGGACTGGGACTGGGACCGGGACTGACACTCGGATTTGAATGCATCTCTTGCAAGATGGTTGCGCTTTTCCAAGTGCCTCTTTTGTGCCGGCAATCTGTTACCAAACAGTTGAAGAGGCCAAAACGAGTCTACCTGCCAGGGATGTCCTTTCGGCCAGGCGTAAAAACCCCGATTACTTGTGGGTTGGTTTGCAGACAGGTGAAGATTTCCTGAAGTCTGCTCTCTCGTTCTGTCCGATCTGTCTCGATCTGGCTCAACAATGTTGACAACGCTCGAACAGAAATCTTGGCCAAAATAACAATCCATAGCGCCGTCAGGCCCACGCAGACCAGGCTCAGCACATAGATACAGATACAGATACAGACACAGACACAGACACACAGATCTGTATGTACACATACTAATTCTGTGATGGAGGAAGGCGGCGAACTTGTGTGCTTATATGGCAACATTGCCCACACACACCAGCTCACGCACACACGCTCACTCGGGCGAGAGAGCGCTTGGGAGAGCGGCTATATTTTTACCTGAACGGTTACGGACAACAACAATAGAGCCAAGAAGTTGGGATATACACAAGATCTTACCTGTGGGGATCCCGTCGCCAATGCGAATCTCAAATGCTCTGCTCTCCACAGCTGTCCGAGTTGGGATTACAAGAGATTATCTCTGGGATGCACTTTGAAACGAGAAGGGCATGATTATGATTGCTGTACAAGTCAAGGGAATGCTAAAACACACCTATACTCGTCTCTTTTCCTATATATGTACCTTAATCTTTCTATGCTTATGGTCGCTATAGAAGAAGAAGTCCACAATGCCTCTCGTTCTCTCTTAATATAGAATCTATCTATACCCCAAATAACTGAAAGCTATCTAGAAGTAGAGCATTTGGTAGTAGGAACAGTTTATCCCTTGCTATTCCGTATAGAGTCGTGTTACGCTGACTCTTTAAAACGCTGCCTCGTTACGTTTACGATTACCTTTGATACCCTCTCTTTTTCTCTCTCTCTCTCTCTCTCTCTCTCTCTTTCTCTGTGGCTGTGTGCGTGAGAGAGAGGCCGTTGTGCAGCTGTGTGTCGCTTTGCTTTAGTTTTATTTTGACCTGATCTGCGCTTAAGATTGTCTCCAGCCGCTCACCTTTTTCCACAGTTGTTACCTGTACACTGTGCTCTCGCTCTGGCTCTCTCTTCGCCTGCATTCGTGCGAGAGGAGAGGCGAGACTGCGAGTGTGTGCGAGCGTGCTCCGAGCGTTGGCTTCGCTTTTGGTTTCAGTCTTCAGTCTCGAAGAGAACTTGTTGCTGCGCAGACGCGAATTGTTCATGCTGCATCTGTCGTGTCGGTCGTCGTCCCGCCTTCTCGCCCGTCTGAGTGTCTATCTGTCTGACGATCGATCGTCGCCGATCTCTCGCACTCGGACTCGTACCCGTTCGTCGCGTCGCGTTGCGTTGCGTCGCTAATTTGCCTGTGCTAATCGCAGTGGCAGTCGCAGTACGGCCCCCGATGGGCTTGATCACCATTCCATTGGTGGAGAGCAAGTGAATATCCGAGTAATACGTGTGTTTTTCGTGAATCTCTGCTAATTGGCAGCAGCAGCCACAGCAGTGGTCCAAGTGCTGGATGCACAGATTTGTGGCGTATCACCCGAAATCAGGGCAGGGCAAAATGTGTCTGTGCGATTTAACAAAAACAAAGGCGATCATCGCTCGGAGAAGCTCCGACTGAGAGCTGCGCCTGCGCGCGGGCCCTAACCTCAAAGTACGCGTACACAAAAGCCTTCGGACGACTCTTGTGGCTTGTGGCAGTGTGAAGCATTGAAACTGGTTCCAACACTCACACCGATACGCCGACACACAGTAAACACACTCAAACACACACCCATACCACGGCAAATTGCAACGACAACAGCTTAAACAAAAATACAACAAAACTCCACTCTACTCTACTCCAACAAAAACGCAGTGAAAAAGTCAAATAAAATTTATGAAAAAGTCTTATTTTCGGCACGCAAAGCTGACGGGGCAAGAAAGCGAAAGAAAGCAAAAACTCGGACACGGCCAAGACCCATAGGCCAAGAACCAGCAACCAAAAGTGCGAACAGCAACCCTATGACGTCAGTGGCCTCCGCATTCGCACGGATCTAAGACCTTGCCCTGCCACTCCCCCCTTCCGACGCCTTTACCACGATGCGGACCACCTTCAAGCTACTGCGGAGGCGCAACGGACTCTGCCTGCCCCTCCTGCTGCTACTGCTGGCCCACTGCGTCTGCGTGTGGCCCGCGTCGGCGGCCCGGGATCGCTTTGCGCGACAGAACAATCGGCAGCGCAACCAGGACCTGGACCGCGACCGGGATCGCTATGTCTACCGCAGCAGCTCTAACCGGCCGCGCGGCGGCAACCGAGGAGTTAGCCACAGCAACAACGCCCTGGGAATGAGCCTGGGCGCGGGAGGCGTCACTCTGGCCAACAGCATGGAGGACCAGAAGTCGAACGAGTTCGTTAAGGGCAAAAGTAAGTCACCGGCCAGATCTGGAACCCCCGCTCGATATGAGAACCCTCGATCTATCACAATGCATATTTATGTAGATTTGCGTCCGTGCTCATATATCATTAGCGAAGACGGCCCGAATATGGCCACCATGCAAACATATCATCGGAGTAGTGAGTGTGGTTCTCAGCTCTGTTGGGCTTAGTCGAGTTTCGGCTTGGGTTTCGGGTTCGTTCCGCCGATATGGCTCTGTTATGGGTTGCATTATCTTATCGTGGGACGTGTGCACGGTTGGGCCTTGTTTTGGTTCTGTTTGCCTCATCTGCTGCTGCCCCACGCTGCAGTGCAACATGTTGTTGTTGCCGCTGCTTCGTTTTCGGCTGCATTTTGTTTTATTAAGTGTTATCGCTACCCTGGAAACAGTAGTGGGGTGTATACGGATCTTTGAGTAGTTGAACTGTTTCCAATATCTAGAAATGTGGAACAGGGATGATGATCGTCGATTTAGGGTTGCAGGAAACCCTCGCAAAGTACTCTCCCCTTTGACATAGGATTATATAGGGGCAGCGCTGTAGGGTATCCCTCATTCGATATCCAAAAGTGACCGAATATCTTTTACTTACTTTATACCTGCCCTTTGCTGCCCGTCTCACCTGCCCCTGGCCCAGGGCTCACCTCTTGACTTGGCGCTGCCTTAGTTAAAGAGTCTTGTGTGCACTATCGCCCCCTGCCCCACCTCTCTGGCCTCCTCCCACCTCCTCCCATCAGATATCACAGCGTACCACAAATATTACCAACTGATTAGCCAGAGAGAAAGAATTTCGTTTGCCTTCCTTCTGTTCGAGTGCATTTCGTAATGTCAAAAGTACAAGGTAAAACCGGACTGAATATTGTACAGATCGTTCAGTTTTTTGGTCTCTGAACTTTCCAAGAGCGTCAGCAACCAGTTGAAGAGGCAACTGCAACAAGCGACACAATTTCCAGCTAAAATGGCGACGCGACTCAATCTGTTGACTCGACGATTCTCGACGACTTCGCGATGGCTTTTCGCCGAGTGCTGGCCGTTGGGAAATTAATAAGAATTTGAATTCCAATACCGCGGTGTCCGTCCCGTCCGACTGTTTGAACAACCGTTTGGCAATCGGCAGCGGCATTACGAGCGGTACGGCGAAATTTAATGAAAAGATCGGGGGCTGGGGGGCTGCGAGCTGCCTGTTTTGTGGGCTGTTTGCGCAGTACTTTGGGGCAAATGTTTGCATTTGGTGGGCAAACAGAAAAATTAAAAAAATACAAGCTCTATCCACCGCCTCACCGCTATACTATACCGCCCTGCCCCTGCCCCTGCCCCCCCCAACGAAAGTCGATATTCAGTGATCTTGTAGCTGCAAATTAATATCTGTCCGACCCTCCACTCGCTGGTGGCAATTGTGCAAATATTTGGAGTAGAAGTTAGCCCCGGGGGCTATGCTAATGGAGTGGCTCTACGCAATAGCCGGATACGGCTAGATAAGCGAGCTATGAAACTGATAACGAGACATCGAATAGGTTCCCCAAGGACTCTGCTCTGCCCATCGCCTATGATTGCGCGTTGATTGTTTCTGTACTTTTCTTTTTGCACAACTGTTCGTTGACACAAAGTTTTTTCCTCCGAAGTTGTTGCTTTATTGTGTTTTTTTATGGCCATAAACAAGCACAGCTGCGGCCAGTATGTAAATAAGCTGGCAAACGCTAGAGAAACCCCTGCCGCAAGCTGCACGTGCATGCCGAATGGAACCCCCTGGGCGCTGGTGGACCGTTGGGAAACTTGAGCAGCAGGCGGCTATAATAATCGCGATTATGGTGGAAGATTTTATTGGTCCGATACCTGGTACTGCACTTATTTTCAATTAGATTTGCATTCGTGGACACACTCTAAGCGGATCGCTTTCGTGCTTAGGGGATACAGTGTATCCTTCGAAGAGGGCTTCGTATTTTTTGATGGAGATCTTAGGAAATATATGATTGATCACTGATCGCAATAGAACTCCCATATATGTTGTTAGTGCTATTTATATTCTCTATATTTCCAGTTACCTGGAAACCCTTCTGATTCATTCTCTCAGTCTATGCTGAGTTTTCCGCCTAGAATTTGGTGCTGAAATCTCAGCTTCCTCCGTTCATACCACACCCCCTCTCCCACACACACACACAGAGAGAGAACCCATCTGTGTCTGTGTGTGCGTGTTAACGCTTGAAAAACCACATTCCATAGTGCGCTTTACTGCGGCTTCGACTTCGTGTGCGCGCATGGGGCCTCAGAGTCCGACTTGGAGTCCAATCAGCATCCCCCTTCCCCTCTGGCACACTCCATGCCCCCCACACCCCTTTCCTGGTGTAAGCTTCAGCTAATTACAGCGTGAGGCACGCGCTATCCTCTCTCTTGTGTGTGTGTGTGTGTGTGTGTGTGTGTGAGTGTATCTACGTTTGCTTTGCATTTTTCTATAATACTTCTGATTAAGCCATCGTCTGTGGCTAATAAATGGCCAAATTGAAATGCGAAATGGCCAAAAGCCAGCTCTAGACCAGACTCGGGCTGAACTTTAAGGCCCATACTGCTTGCTGTTGTTGCATTTACTTTTAGCCGTTTTCCAACGGCTGCTGCAAGCGAAATACTGGTTTTCTAAACCCACACGGACACGGACGCATACAGGCGCAGGGGCACTCACATAGATACGACGAGTACAGAGAGAGAGAGAGAGCAACTATGGCTGCTGCGATTGCGCAGTTTCCCTGCCTCTCACCCCTCTCTCTCGCTCACTTGTTGATTGTTTTCCAAGAGTTTCCTCCATTCCCGCATTTGGTTTCAGTTTTCCAGAGTTTCACGACACTTTTCTCTGCCCCGCGACGGGCCCCGCGCAGCATCGGCATCAGCATCAGATGCAGCGAAGGCGGGGGCGGTGGCGGTGGCAGGGTTTCGTGAACTTTTGACTGCAACACTCTCCTCTCCCTTCGCCTCGGCCTGCGTGTGGGCGTTCGATGTCGAAACCAAAGCCATAGTTAAAGCCAAAACAGAAACCAAAACCGATTCTGAAGCTGAAGCTGACGCTGACGGTGTAGCCGCGTCTCGGCCCACGATTCTTCTGGCTGCTGCCTCTCCCCGATTTTCTTGCTGGCTTTTCGTTTTGGCCTGGCCCTCTCCTCTGTTTTGGTCTGTGCTTCGCGGTTCTATGCCTAAAAATAGTTGGCAATGCGATTGCGAGCGTTTTTCAAAGCCAGGCAGCGGCAGCAGACCAAAAATGGCGCCAGGGCGTGCTCATTAAGCCTGGCCAGAACCGATCCGACTGCAGCTGAGGCCCCGCTGGGCTGGATGGACACGGGGCTTGCGGGGATCGAGAACAAAGAGAAGCAGCAGCAGCAGCAACAATAAGCTTATCTAATCCAAGCATTCCTCTTGCTGATGCTGTTTCTTTTTCTGTTTCTGTTGTTGTTGTTGTTGCTGTTGCTGTTGCTGTCGTGAGGCACGACCTGCGCCCAATTGTTGTTCGAAACAAAATGAACGCGCTTCGAACACGAAAACCCAAAACCAGAAGATGAAGATGATCGCGGAGAAGAGGCAGCAACAGCAACAGCAAACATCAGGGGGAGAGGCAGTGGCAGACCCAAAGAAACCAGCAAGATGAGCCGCCACAAGGCATCATCATCCAAGCGGCAGGCTGGGGCTCTGACTGTGACTGTGGCTGTTGTTGCATCGTCGCTTGGTGGCCGTTGCCTGATTTGCCTTTGCCTCAGCACTGAGAGAAAAAACTGTTGACCAGAGAAGGAATATGAGAAAGTTTGCTCACATTTCAACAAATATCGCTCTACATTCCAGTAGATTGATTGCCAGATGCCAGTTCGAATGTTCAGCCATACATATATCCCTTTCTATGCAGCCCATTTCTCTCCCTGTATTCTCGAGGATCTTTGCTTCTTGGTGCACTCCACTCCATTCCACTGAAAAATTTGTTCTGCCAAGCTAAAGACGAGACTGGGCTTGCGCTTGCAGCGTTTTCTGGCCAAGATTGTATCTGGCCCTCTGTACCATCCGCCCTCTCAGCAGTTGCAGTTGCGATTATTTGCCTTCGTCTTCGTGACGCCACGACGCGAGCATAGAACACAGCAGCAACAGCAGCAGCAGCAACAACAGCAACAACAGCAACAAGCTGCAATTGCAACAACAAACACGAAAGAAAGTTGCCGCAACAGCATTCTGCAAAACCGAGAGAGAGAAAGAGAGAGAGGGAAAGGGAGAGAAAGAGAGAAAATTGCAAAATCCGCGCACGTAAGCGACGGCCTGGAGACTCCACTCTAAGCTCTAAGCTGGGGTTGGGGCTGACGCTGGCGTCCGTACTCCAATCCAATCCAATCCGATCGGTGTCTAGTCGCCGTACCCGTCCCCGTCCCCCTGCCCTCTCTGCGGACCACCATTCCGCACCCGTAATGAGCTGCGTGTTTTTAATGGCCGCACAAATGAATTTATTAAGCACTTTTACACAATTTCATTGTAAAAGAGACGCGTGCCAGTGCCGGGACTCGATTGAAATTGTCGCAAAACAGTTATGAATTATTTATGTGGCAGACAGTGGACGGCAGGGAGGGGAGGGAGCTGGGTTGGTGAGTGCATGGATCATGCAGCATGGAGTGTGGCATGTGGATTGCCGGCCGACGATAATCTATGACACCTTGCGATCGGTTGTTCAGCTGCATCTGCATACGGAATCGGGCTCGGTGTCGGGAGTCGCCTCAAGGCGCCCAACTTTCTCCAGGGGGATGGCAGCAGATCAATGTACTTGCTGCCACCAGTCCCAGTCCCAATCCCAGCCCCGTCCACTCCCCTGCCATCTCTCGGGCATGGCCAGAGGGAATAACGGAGTACGGTCCGGTTCGGCGGGGCCTTATAATTTGATCGAATCGATTTTTGGGCAAATAGAGCTCGCTCTGAAAAAACAAAGCACGCTTAATGCCCTTTTAAATCTTTTGTTATATTACAACAAGATCTAGACAATTCTGGCTGCTGCCGCAGGCAAAGGTACACAAAAATGTATCTGAAAGAACAGCAGCAGCGGCAGCAGCAGCAGCAACAATGGTAAAAAGATACGAACCACCAGAAGAAGAAGAAGAAGAAGAAGAAGAGCCAGCAATCCAGATGGTCTCTTCTCTTGCTCTGCCTCTTGGGTTTTGGTTTTGGTTTCGGTTTCGGGCCATGAGTTAAAAATCTTTTCCACGAAATGAAAATACACACATACAAAGAGGACGGACAGGGAGAGAGAGAGAGAGAGAGGAGAGAGGGCCACAAAACGTGAGCGAGGCAGCAGCAGCAGCACCAGCAGCAACAACAAAAACTGTTAAATGCGCAGAACCGGCTGAGCGAGTCGGGTCTTGTGGCTGGATCTGGGGTCTTTCTTGAGGCTGCAACACACACAGAAAAGAGAGGGAGAGAGAGGGAGAGAGGGGGGGGCGAGCGAACGTCAAGAACGTTTTGCGTCTAGGCCAAAAGATAGATAGACAGAAAGAGAGGTAGAGAAGTAGAAGGAAAACCTCACGAGTCCAAAAGTCAAATCGCAGATGGAAAAACCAAAAGAATCGATTATGCAGTGCTTTCCTTCTTCTCCTCCGTTTCCATTTCCATCTCAATCTTGTGCTGTGGCTGCCACTGGGGGCTGAAGTGGGGGAAAGAGCAGAGTTAACAAAAAACAATATTTAGAAAGTCAGCAAAGTCGTCGGCGATCTGAAGCTTGGAATGCGGTTGCCTATTAATCAGTACGTCAGCTGTGGCTGTGCGGCTGGGAAGGGGCTGTGGCAAGGGAGCTGGGCGGCGACGAAGGGCATTGCTGATGGCTTGGCATACAAATCGATAAGCAAATACACACACACACACACACACAGACACACACAGATACTACTCTCAGAACGTGCTGCTGCTGTGTGCGTTGATTAATCTCGCTGACGAGTTTGTTGCCTAAGTCTTTTGTTTTAATGAGCACATCATGAATTATGACTTTGATTTGTGCTGCGGCTACGGCTACGGCTCCATCTACGAGTCCCTTCCCCCGTCGACCATCACTCATTAGGGGCTGCCACACTCTTGGCCTTAGCCTAAGGATTACAAATTAGCCTTTTTTACGCGGACTCTCTGATGCTGTGACTGAGTGGCTAAGACTCACTCTGAGGCGGGCGTGTCGCTGCCCGGCCAAGAGAAAAATCGCATATGCCCCGCTCATTTCACGAGAAACCCCAGTCCCCAGTCCCCAATCCCCAATCCTCAGTCCGCAGTCCCCAGTTCGAGTCAAAGTCAACGTTTTGCCTGGCAGGGGCACCGCAACCTCTGCCAATGCTGTCGTGGCTTACGTTTCAGGCCTCGAAACATGAAAAACTCTGCTGATAAATTGTGCGCGATAAAGCCCGGCTCGGCGTGGCTTGAAAAGGGTTTCGTGATGTCGGGCTCGGCCTGAGAAATGGAGGCGGTGGCGCAGACTGAGGGGCGGCGGGGGGGGGGGGGGAGGGCAGAACTGCTGCCCAACGGCATTGGGGAGCATCATCATTCTCCAGCGACAAAAAGAGCTGAAACAAAGCTGAAGAATTTGTACGAAAATTTTTGCGCTTCGATTGCCACAGCCGCTTTTGATCAGTGTCCAGCGACTAAGTCGAGGTCCCAGTCGTGGCCTCACCTTCGTCTTGCTCCGTGCGCTCCGTGCGCTCCTGCCCCCTCCTCTGGGGTCCCCCCTTTGCCCTCTGGGAGCCGTCTGCCGCCGGGTGGAATGCATGGGACGCATATCTGGGGGCATTTAACTTTTTCTTCCCATCGGAGCGGAATTTCTCCCGTTTCTGTTTCTGGCGACAGAAATATTTTTGTGCCATTCGTTCGGTTTCATAATTGTGTGTTTCTTCGGATATTTGTTCAAAGGAAATCAATAAACGAAATGTGGAGATGCCGCCACATGTTGCAGCGGCCATTTTGCTGGATCCACGGATAATTAGCTGGCGGGTCCGACGGGTCTGACGGGTGGGTGGCTGCCCGGCCTATGATGATGTTGCGGCTGCGGCTGCTGCTGCTGCTGCACTATGTGGGCTGCCACCAGGTGGGTGTCTAACTTCGACTCATGGCACACTTTTGCGGCCCACACGATGAGTGGCGGTCGACCCACGTAGCCCTTTCCTAAGAATCTGTCGGTGTGCATATGAAATTGTATCTATCGGATGCAAATCAATGGAGTCGTCCCCGAAGATGTTCGACTACGCGAGCGGCTAAAACAGGTCGCTGACTAATGATAACAGAGCGTCTAGTGGCCGGAATGGAACGGAACGGAACGGGGCCGAGAGACTGCGTGGGCCGCTAATTATTAAAAACGCCAACTGGCTTCGACTCTGACTCTGACTCTGACTCTGAGGTTGAGGCTGCGGCTGAGACGGAGGCTGGTATTGGGATTGAGACTAAGACTGAGGCTGAGACTGAGACTGAGACTGAAACTATGGATGCTGGGGCGCCCACTTGTTTCGCTTTTGTTGGTGTATGTATGCCTCATTTTATTGCTTCCGAGCATACAACAAACAAAAGACTCGAGCAACAAACTTCTCCTCTTCTCTTTGGCTCAGCTCGGAGCTATTTCCGTTTACAATTCGAAGCGAAATTAATTTCCCAACTCAACACCTCCGCAGCCATTGGACATTGTGGGATAATTAGGCAGCTTAGGGTCACTCCGGTTAGACCCTTCCATTAGTTACTCCCACTTGAGCACTCGCACAGCCGAAACTACAACGTTTTCCCTTTTGTCAACTTTCTTTTGCAGTCTGCATCGGCACCAAGTCCCGCCTCTCTTCACCCTCGAACCGGGAGCACCACTACCGGAATCTGCGCGACCGCTACACGAACTGCACCTACGTGGACGGCAACCTGGAGCTGACGTGGCTGCAGGACCCCAACCTGGACCTCAGCTTCCTCGACAGCATCCGCGAGGTGACCGGCTACATTCTGATCAGCCACGTGGATGTCACCAAGGTGGTGTTTCCCAAGTAAGTTCACACCCAGACCCGGGATCCAGACAGTGGCTGACCTCCGAGTGTTATTTCCTTGCAGACTGCAGATCATTCGCGGACGGACGCTGTTCAGCCTGGCCGTGGAGGAAGAGAAGTACGCCCTGTTCGCCATATACTCGAAAATGTACACCCTGGAGATGCCCGAGCTGCGGGACATCCTGCAGGGAGGGGTGGGCTTCTTCAACAACTTCAACCTCTGCCACACGCGCACCATTGTGTGGCGCGAGATCCTCACCGGCAGCACCGAGAACTTCAACTACACGTACAACTTCACGGCCCCGGAGCGCGAGTGCCCCAAGTGCCACGAGAAGTGCGGCAGCGGGCCCTGCTGGGGCGAGGGCGCCCACAACTGCCAGAAGTTCAGCAAGATCAACTGTGCCCCTCAGTGCGCGCAGGGACGCTGCTACGGCCGCGGGCCCCGGGAGTGCTGCCACCTATTCTGCGCCGGAGGCTGCACGGGCCCCACGCAGAAGGACTGCATCGCGTGCAAGAACTTCTTCGACGAGGGCGTCTGCAAGGAGGAGTGCCCGCCCATGCGCAAGTACAACCCCACCAGCTACATCCTCGAGACGAATCCCGAGGGCAAGTACGCCTACGGAGCCACCTGCGTGAAGGAGTGCCCCGGCCACCTGCTGAAGGACAATGGGGCCTGCGTGCGCAGCTGTCCCTCGGACAAAATGGCCAAGGAGGGCGATTGCGTTCCCTGCAACGGGCCCTGCCCCAAGACCTGTCCCGGCGTGGAAACCGTCAACTCTGGCAACATTGAATCGCTGCGCAACTGCACCGTGATCGACGGCAACATCCGCATCCTTGACCAGACCTTCTACGGCTATCAGGACGTGTACGTGAACTACACGATGGGTCCGCGCTACATCCCGCTGGATCCCGAGCGGCTGGAGGTCTTCTCGACGGTCAAGGAGATCACAGGCTATCTCAACATCGAGGGTAATTTCTCGGGCTTCCGGAATCTGTCCTACTTCCGCAACCTGGAGATCATCCACGGCCGCCAGCTGATGGAGAGTCTCTTCGCTGCGCTCTCGATTGTCAAGTCCTCGCTCCACAGCCTGGAGATGCGCAACCTCAAGAAGATCAGCTCCGGCAGCGTGGTCATCCAGCACAACCGCAACCTCTGCTACGTGGGCGACATCCGGTGGAACGCTGTCCAGAAGACGGCCGACCAGAAGCAGTGGATCAACGAAAACCTCAACGCCGCCGAGTGCCGTAAGTAAACGCTGTGCAATCCAATCCCACAGCCATCTAATCCAAACTCCCCAACTAATCCTCTGCAGGCAAGGCTGGCTTGGTCTGCTCGGACCAGTGTAACGAGGACGGCTGCTGGGGATCGGGCACGGATCAGTGTCTCAACTGCAAGAACTTCAACTACAATGGCACCTGCATCGCGGACTGCCGCAACATCACCAAGTGAGTCGAACCCTCAATCCTGGAGAGACCCTTCCATACTAAGCCGTGTTCCTCCTCTCTCTCTCCCTCTCTCTTGTAGTGCCTACCAGTTCGACACGAAGACCTGCAAGATGTGTCATCCGGAGTGCCGCACCTGCTCAGGACCAGGGGCCGATCACTGCGACGACTGTGTCCATGTGCGGGACGAGCAGCACTGCGTGTCCGAGTGCCCCGAGGAGAAGTACAGCGAGAATGGGGTGTGCCGCAGGTGCCACGAGACCTGCGAGGGATGCACTGGGCCGAAGGACACTATCGGACTGGGCGGCTGCAAGACCTGCAACCTGGCGATCATCAACAACGATGCCACCGTCGAGCGCTGTCTGCTGAAGGACGACAAGTGCCCCGACGGCTACTACTGGGAGTATGTCCATCCGCAAGAACAGGGCTCCCTCAAGCCGCTGGCCGGGAAGGCCGTCTGCAGGAAGTGCCACCCTCGCTGCGAGCTCTGCAGCAACTACGGCTTCCACGAGCAGGTGTGCTCCAAGTGCGTGGGCTACAAGCGACGCGAGCAGTGCGAGGACGAATGTCCGGCCGACCACTACACGGACGAGAACAAGCGCGAGTGCTTCGAGTGCCACCCAGAGTGCAAGGGTTGCACCGGCCCTGGCTCTGACGACTGCATCGCCTGCCGCAACTTCAAGCTCTTCGCCTTCCATGACGCCAGCACCTACGAGAACTCCACGCTGTTCAACTGCACCTCAAAGTGTCCGCCAGACTTCCGGCACGTTAACTACCAATCGCTGCAGATCGGACCTTTCTGCGCCTCCAGCCCGCCGAGGGGAGGCAAGCTGAACGCAAACCTGGACGTGAACATGATCGCCATCATCACCAGTGCCGTGCTCATCCCAACCATCTGCATCCTCTCTGTGGTCACGTACATCTGTCGTCAGAAGCAGAAGGCCAAGAAGGAGACGGCCAAGATGACGATGGCCCTGTCCGGCTGCGAGGACTCTGAGCCGCTGCGCCCCTCCAACATTGGCGCCAATCTCTGCAAGCTGCGCATCGTCAAGGACGCTGAGCTGCGAAAGGGCGGTGTCTTGGGCATGGGCGCTTTCGGCCGGGTGTTCAAGGGCGTCTGGGTGCCTGAGGGCGAGAACGTGAAGATCCCGGTGGCCATCAAGGAACTGCTGAAGTCCTCGGGCGCCGAGTCCAGCGAGGAGTTCCTGCGCGAAGCCTACATCATGGCCTCAGTGGAGCATGGCAACCTCCTGAAGCTGCTGGCCGTCTGCATGTCCTCCCAGATGATGCTGATCACGCAGCTGATGCCGCTGGGCTGCCTGCTTGACTACGTGCGAAACAACCGCGACAAGATCGGCTCCAAGGCCCTGCTCAACTGGTCCACACAGATCGCCAAGGGCATGTCCTACCTGGAGGAGAAGCGGCTCGTGCATCGCGACCTGGCGGCACGCAACGTTCTGGTGCAAACCCCCTCGCTGGTCAAGATCACCGACTTTGGGCTGGCCAAGCTGCTGAGCAGCGACTCCAATGAGTACAAAGCGGCTGGCGGCAAGATGCCCATAAAGTGGCTAGCCCTGGAGTGCATCCGGAACCGCGTCTTCACCAGCAAGTCGGACGTGTGGGCCTTCGGTGTGACCATCTGGGAGCTGCTCACATTTGGTCAGCGGCCGCACGAGAACATCCCTGCCAAGGACATCCCCGACCTCATCGAGGTGGGTCTGAAGCTGGAGCAGCCGGAAATCTGCTCGCTGGACATCTACTGCACCCTGCTCTCCTGCTGGCACCTCGATGCGGCCATGCGGCCGACCTTCAAGCAGCTGATGACGGTCTTCGCGGAGTTTGCCCGCGATCCAGGCCGCTATTTGGCCATCCCCGGTGACAAGTTCACCCGCCTGCCCGCCTACACCAGCCAAGACGAAAAGGATCTCATACGCAAGCTGGCTCCCACCTCGGATGGCTCTGAGCCCATGGTTGAGGCGGACGACTATCTGCAGCCAAAGGCGGCGGCGGGTCCTAGCCATCGCACGGACGGCACTGACGAAATTCCCAAGCTGAATCGCTACTGCAAGGATCCCAGCAACAAGAACTCCAACGGTGGCATCGGCGGTGATGATGAAACCGACTCGAGTGCCCGTGAGGTGGGCGTGGGCAATCTGCGCCTCGACCTGCCCGTCGACGAGGACGATTACCTGATGCCCACGTGCCAGGGCGCTGGTCCCAATAATAATAACAACCACATCAATCCCAATCACAACGTGGCCGGCGCGGGCACCACCGCTGGCTACATGGATCTCATCGGAGTGCCCGTCAGCGTGGACAACCCTGAGTATCTGCTGAATGCGCAGGCCCTGAATGTTGGGGAGGCGCCCATACCCACGCAAACCATCGGCATCCCTGTGTTGGGAGTACCTGGCACGCTGGATGTGAAGATTCCGATACCGGGCAGCGAGCCGACCAGCTCCGACCACGAGTATTACAACGACACCCAGCGGGAGATGCAGCCGTTGCATCGGAACCGCAACACCGAGACCAGGGTGTAGCCGATCCCACTGCCAGAACGGAATATCAATTCTTGCCACAATACCCAAGTGCCTTTTGAAGTCAACGCCAACGCCAACGCCAACGCCATGCGGATGCACGGGCACGTGCCTTTGAATGCTGTTATCATAGATAGAACCCATTCGCCTGTATAAACCAGGGCCCAAACCCAACCCAACCCTAGGATATGTGTGTACATTACTACCGATATTACTCCATAGTGTACTTAGCCCGCGCCCCTGCCCCACTCTAGTGTATAGCTTTGTGTATACTCGTACTTCTCTATCCTAACCCTAGCCACTAGTTGAGTTGAGTAGTCAGCAGGGATCGTCGTCGCGGTCCTGCGCTTGTAGATTGTATGTAATTACGAGAACAAAACACCGATAGTGCATTTCTTAGACGCCTCCGCCACGGCGGACTCTCGAATGGTCCGCGCGGAGGGCGCACACTAAGCTAAACTTATCTCTAGTTCATCCGGCGGACTGTCGCAGATGCATTAATAACTTCTTATCGTGAATAGTTACTTATAGTTAGTCGTTAGCCTCTAGCGCCTATTTTTCAACTGTGATATATATTGTAGGCATTATCTAAGGACTTGTAACACCATGAACAAACCGAACGACTCGAAAACAAATCAAAAATTATATAGAAAGCACTAAAAATTAATTGTACATACAGATCTATGCAATTTAGGTCTAGTTTCAAATCCCATTCGATATCAAGAAAGTTTGACAAACCAATCCCTAGAGTGCCATGCGTCGATCGATGCGATTCTCCTAAAGATTTCGAATATTTGTTTGGCACCGCAGACAGCTGTCTCTGTAAGGTAACTAGTGTAAGCGCGCGCATAGGCGATATGTTACCGATCAAAGATATACATATGTACATACATATTTTTGTATGTATTAACATTTCTCACATAAAAATACAACCGTATAATTACTTGCATACGTTCTTCTTATACACAGATTGTAGATTTGCCAAGTGCAGCTTATGCATAATGAATATGTTACATTAATTTAATTAGTTTATCTATACAAATAAACAAAAATATAAAATAAAATCATTTTTGAATATACATAAATGCACTTAAATTCTCATCATCAAATTTACGGAAACAATCCACATCAATCAAGAAGCGATTTTGGTTTCCTATCTTCGAAAATATCTTCTTGGACCAGACAGCAGTTGAGTCCTGCATTTCTTGATTTTTTTCCTTTTTTTAATGTAATTTGGAAGTAATTTACTTGCTCTTCGCTTTCTTCTAATCCTCTTTAAGTACTTTGAAGTTATTTTGTCACTTAGCTCAATTTAATTTCATAGCCTATTTTTCATCAAACCTATTCAAACCCGCCCAAAAGTAGGCAGGTATTGTCGAAGCAACACATTTGGCCTGCAGCCCAAGGGTATGCTAGTATATTTTTTAGAACAAAATTGTACACGACGTTTCTTTTCGCAGTATGGTCACACTGTGGTATGCACGAGCGCGCGCTTTCATTTGAATTTAAATGGACGTCACAAATATTCCGCCAAAGCATGAAAACAAAGCTTGAATTTCTGTTTTGCTTTATTTAAATATTCAATGAGACATTCTGAGTGGATCTGCTATTGAGGGGGCGTGGTCACAAACGGCTGTTTGCTGCATATATATGTATATATAGTATATGCATGTAATTGGATTCGTATTATAATTGGTGTAGACTATTTAGACGTCGGTTCGTATATATTGAAAAAGTTATCCATAGTTTACTTTCATAAAAGTTCAATTACATCAATTACGGTTACGTTAATGTTAATTTACGATAGGTTGTGTTCATGTGGATGTGAGGGTTGGTGTGGATGTGGCTGTGTGGGGTTGTGTACTACATTAGGACAATCTTTGTGGGTTGTCCCTCTAATATTAGTCAATTAAATAACTCAAGTTGGTTTTAGTTGTAGGCGGTACTTAGAGAAAACAATATTCGACTTAAACGCAATCCTAAAAAACAAAATCAGTGCTGGCTCTTGGCTCTAAATCCTAAAGAATACGAAACTCATGAGTGCCTGTGTGTGTGTGTGTCTGTGTGTGTGGGCTTGGGCGGGCCCTTGCATGAGTGTGTGAGCGTGGGCATGGCCCAGCAAACTTAATTGATAAACATTAAATAACATTTGGATTCAAATCTCGCATCCTCAGCATAGGATCTAAGCATAAAAGACAAACTGCTCATCAAGCAAGAGCAGCAATACGCTCTCCTTACGATTACCCGCCCAACGCCACCTGCCCCTGGAGCAGCAATTAGTGCCTAGTTCGTACATGGATTACACGCCCACGCCGCAGAGAGACTTGGCCGAGACTGCTGCTGGAGCCCGCACCAGAGACAGAAGCAGATGAGGCTGAATCTGCAAATGAAGTGGGGGCAAGAGCAGGAGCGTCAGCCTATCACATTGGAACGCGCCGCGCCAGCAGATACTCGGAGAACTGCTGCCCCCCGACACTGGCCTCGACGGTGAAGCCGGCGTTGAGGAGTCGCGTCAGCACCTGGACTGAGTTCAGCTTGCAATAGCCATTCAGGGGGAAGCGGATGATTTGCCCCCAGTCGCCCTGGTTCCAGGAGACGCCGCTGCGACTCGACTGTGTCGCCTGGCTGGCCTCCGGGAAGAGTTCGTCGAGCAGAGCCCGTTCCGCCGACAGCATTATGCGCTCGCCCAGGTCCGGCGAGATGTGCAGAGCCACGACCTCGTAATTGCAGTCCGGCGACGCGCTGGTCCGCGGGCTTGTCTTAATGTGGCGTGCTGGTGGAGTGGGTGGCGCCACCAAATAGTTCCCATTGCGTACACGATCCTTGCGCATGCTCTCCAGCTGCTTAATCATCGCTGCAGGCGCCAGCATCATCCAGACAGAGGAAGAGACAGCGAGTAAGAGGGGAAAAACGCAAATTAGCTCCCTATAAATGTAGGAGGAGACAACGATGGTCGGGTATGAGTACTTACGCTCCACTTCGTAGTAGCGGGCCTCCTCTAGTAGCAGCTCCAGATCGGGAAAGTCCTCGGCAACCAGAAGTCTTGAGTTTCTCATAAAGTTCAGAATGTGACGGAACATGCCACCGTCGCGATCTATGAAGTAGTGCTGCTTCAGCGAGTCCAGCACAATCGGGATTTGGCCGTTGAAGAGCTTGGCCAGTTTTGACTCTGGATACTTGGTGAGCGTCTCCAGGGAGCTGGTGTAGATGGTCCCGCCCACGTCGATGTGTACGGGAGCCGTGTAGCGGGAGGCGGCCGCCACGCAGGGTATGCCGGTGATGGGCTTGTGGTTGCCGTGCATATAGGAACTGGCCCCCGCCGAGCCGGCGCCTCCGGCTGCAGCAGCTGCCACGGCGGCAGCAGCCGCCGCCGCCCCGGGCAGCCCCAGCGGCGTAACTGAGGAACTGGCAGGCGGCGTCGGTGTGGGCGAAGAGGAGTTTGAGATCGTTGGCGAGACGGTGGGCGAAGCGCTGCGGGCAAGACGAATTTACGAATTAACAATGAGTTTTGGCCAAGGGGGCTTTTGGGGCAATGTGGGGGCTGTGCTGTGTATTCATCACATTCGCAACGCTCATCAATATGCAAGGGCTCACCTGATTTTAATGTCGCTTCTGGCGTAAATGCGGCCCGTGGAAGACAAGTCGCGTGGCTCCAGGGCCTTGACATCTCTTTCGCGCTCTCGATCCATATCGCATTTTTTCCTGCAATTAGTTAATTATCCATCAAGAGATTAGCCAATAGATCGATTAGCTTACTAGACGGATCAGACCCTCCTCCACACACACACACACACACACACACCCACTCACACAGTAAAACTAATCATGAGAACCAATTTATCCCCCCACAAGACTGGACGCCAACAACGTTGAAGGACAGCAAACGTGACAACGAAAATGCAGCATCGCTTGCAGCTAAACAGCCATCCACAGGGCCAGTTCCATTCCCCCATAAAGGTTCACACACAGTGAGAGACAGAAAGACAGCGAGAGAGAGAGAGATAGAGACAGGGCAGGGACAAACAGACAGACAGACAAAAGAGAGAGAGAGCGAGGGGTTTGGGGCCAAGTCAAGTTTGGATATATATTTCATATGGCCCATAGTCTTGGGCCGATTGTGTGGGAATATTTGGTTTTACATTGCGTTTCCATTGGGGCAAACAGAGATCCCCCTCAGGGGATCGACTCTCCGCAGCTTCGGTCGTGGACAAGACAAAATCGCCGCACCGCCATCGGTGGTGGAGGCGGGGCTCAGGGATGCAGTTAATGTTAACGGCCATCGAATGCATGGCTTTGGCCGTGGATGCTGTGTTTGCTGCCCCTGCTGTCGCTGTCGCTGTCGCTGCCGCTGCCGTCAGTTAGCCGCAAGTGTTGCGAGTCGATTTTCACACGAAAATCACATTGTTTGGTGCATCGTTATGGATGTGGGTGAGGGGGCGGTGAGGGGAGGTACAGTAGAGGCCATGTGGGACCGTGGCATGGGCACACTAATTATGATGTGTCAGTCGAATGCGTGCCACTCGACGTATACCCAATGTTGCGGCTGCCTTCCTGCTGCCCCACCCCCACCTAAACGAAGTCAACAACAATTACCAAGTGGCCTTTAGAGTGTATCTCTATCTATGCATATGGCTAACCTCACTCGTGCAGCTGCCTCCACATCACATCATGATCATCATCAGTTCTATCAGGATCGGTTTCTGTTTCCCGACTCTCCAGAGAAAGAGACACAAATTAATAAAACTGAATCAGACGGGGCACTCGTAGCATGACGAATGTGGTCATGTTTTTTGCACATTAGCCGAGCCCCAGACTGATGGACGGATATAGCGATGCTCACTCCGCTTTTGAATGCAAGTACTAACTAAAAAATATTGAACGGGCTACCACAGTTTTTTTGTTTATTTGGCGACAGGTTTTTGAAAGAAACAGATAAGAGAGATAAGAGTTGTGTATTCTATAGAGTTGTTGAAATTCTATAAATGGAAAAGCTAACAGAAATATTCCCTTACCAATAAAGAAGTACATCTATAAAATATATGCTCCCCTTTGCCCATTCATTCTCTGCCGAAGAGCATCCGATCTTCGCCATGTTCTATCTTCGCTTCATCTGGCATCTATCCCAAGCAAGTTGGCTTTTTTTTAAATGTTTGAAGCCCCACGGCTCTCCGACTGGATCTGGGGCTGTGGCTGTTTCTGTGGCTCGGGCTAGGGTTGGAGCGGGGGTTGGGTAATTACGATTTGATTAACTTTAACTACATGAACATTCAAATGTGAATGGGTATGCGAGGGGGACGGCAGGTGCGGTACCGATGGTAAAACACGAATGGGACTCTGCCACAGAGAGAGAGATAGAGAGAGAGAGAGAGGAGAGGAGAGGAGAATAAATAGTGGGGTTACTGCAAATAAAAACCAAAAGCAAACCCGCAAAAAATTGTACAAAATAAATGTCTGCAAGGCATTCACATGGAAACCCCACTACAACTGCAAGGGAGCGGTGCGGGAGGGGTTTTATGGCAAGCAGAGGGGAGAGAATCCACAGAAATAAACTTGGGTTTTATTAATTTATAGCAATTATAAAGCGTGAGTAATGCGTTCAATCAAACATTGGATATTCGTTTATGGCAAAATGGCTTAATGGGTGCCCCAGTCTCGGCCCCTGCCCCATCACCGTAAATATTCCTGCCCCGCTCCCTACACGCCCCAACAACCTGCCCTGCTCCAGCAGCTGCAGCAGCAGTTGCAGCCACAAAATATGCAATGCCATTGCCTGGCCTGGCCTCTTGTCACACACACAAACAATTCAATTTCAATTGCTTTGCGGCCCACTTGAGCAGGTGGAACAACAACGACATACACACACTCACATGTAGTGTGGCACACACACACACACACCCACCCACACACATGGACCTGTGGACACCCAGAGCCTAACGGTATTGTATATAAGACAAGCACTGCAGTTTGCATCCTATTCTAGTCCATTATCGCCCCCGGCGGTATCTTTTCTATGCCGTCTAGCAGCAGGATGAGCAGAGCACAGATGCTGAGGCAGGCCCATGCGGCAAGGTGGAGGGGTTGGAGGACTGGGGACTGGGGCTGCAAAGGGGCGGAGTTGGCAGAGTTATTCGCAGCGCCTTTGGTTACACTTGAGCCGGAGTCGCTGCCGTAGCCGAGTCGAGACTGAGAGATGAGCGCGTGAGGCATCGCAGGCGCCACTAGCAGTCGTGAGCCCTAGTGTTTGCGTGAGTCACGCCCCCATCTCGGGGCCAAGATGAATTCTGAAGAGTTGCCTCTGCCGTTGCCATATTTGTCAGCCAACTTCCCCCCCCTTGGGGACGGGCTTTCTGTGGCCATCATTTGACATCTTTCCGAACCTGAAGCTCTGCCTCGGAATCCGGCTCTGGTCTGGTTTTAATGGCAATGCCATTAACTCATGACTCTTGGCATTGCATATTCCCGGGAATATCTTCATCTTCTGGTTATCCTCCGTCCATTTCCACATGTATCAGCCACAGAAGACGACACACGGGTACTAGAGGCTGGAGGTGGCAGTGGTAGTGCCACGAAGACTGAGCTTATTAGTTTGGCATTGTTCCGATTGAGGCGGCTTTCAGGCCGAATATCAGGTTGGCCCAGCTCTTCGGCTCCTCTTCTCCGGCTGATGCTTCGACGTGGCCTTGGCCCCGAGGGCGAAACATTTTCGAAAAAGGAATTATGGACAAAAGTGGCCGTTGGCACATGCTCAATGCTCAATGCTCGATGGTGAATCCTGCTGGGGGGAGGACATGGTCCTGCCCAGGCAATTCCCCAAACGACACGAATACGACCACGACTTGTGGTCCAGGGCTGCGTCGTCATCGCCAGAACAAAGTCCCTCCCAAAACCAGGACAAAAGCGAAAACAAAAGCCAAGAAATGAGCTAAAATGCACCCCACTCACATACACAGATAAAGGTAGTGATACCCACATATACACACACACACACATACAGATGAAGGTAGCAACACACACCTAGGCAGAGAGAGGATGAGGTCGCATCAGACGTTGACGACTGCGACTGTGACGCTGACTATGTAACCCTAGAAAATGTCCTGCGGCCAGCCAACCTTCCGCACACAAAGGCCAGACCAGACAGCGTGAGTGTCCCGGTTGCAAGAGGCAGCAAGAGAGAGGGACCAAGAATTAGAGAGAGAGAGAGAGGGAGAGAGGTAGCCGTGTGGCAGCTGAGGCAGAGCGAGAGGAAGCGAAAAAGGGCAAAAGCTGACTAGGCCCCCGGCGATCGTTTGGAATTAGTGCGGAAATCATGGATGGATACGGAACGAAACCAAGCAAGGAAAGCAAGCCAAGCCGAGGTCCTGCTGCTGCTGCTGCTGCTGCTACAGCTCCTGCTCCTCCCAAGGCGTCGTACTACAGGCAAGTCCCGTCTATGCTCGATGCGGGGGAATTCCAATCAATGGCCGCCACTCGGTCTGTGCCTCATTTGGCCGCCTGTGCTGGGGCTCCACTGTAGCCGAGTAAGGTGCTTGGTGTTTGGGATTGAAACTTGGGGTTTTCATCCCGCTTGTCCGCCTTCCGCTCTTCGCTCCTCCGCTGGTCCGTCGGTGTCCTCTAGGGCTTTGCTGGCTTTTACATGCGAGTCCATGCATGTGTGGGAGCCTCCTCATTCATTTATCCTTGCAACGCTAAGGGCAACGAGAGGAGAAGCCGAGCAGCAGGAGGAGCAAAAACAACAACAAGTGCAGGAATACAGGCAGTAACCACAGCGTCAAGGATACTCCTCGCAACTCCCGCTCCGTTCAAACTCCAGCTTTGGGATAGGAAGGGCAGAACTTTTGCGATTGGTAGGTAAGTCTAGTCGTGTCCGTTCCTGGCTTTGGCTTACCCTCTCTCACACAGATACGAAACCCCTGCCACATGTGTCCATGTGTCTGTGCGGCTGCTCTGCCTGCATTTAAAGATATCATACCCAAAGTTCTTCTCGGTCTCACAGCCCCAATGCTCCCCAGGCATTGCTCCTCTCGAGAGGAGAACAAAAAATATATATAGAAAAATAAAAAAAAAGCAAAACGAAAGTTTTCGAGGCAAAATCTTATCTCAATTTTAAAACGCTTGCGGCACAAGCTGTGCGACTCAGTCGACGGCTGTGTCTGCGTTAGCGTCAGCAGCGCTGCGTTGTTGCTGCAGCAGTGGATTCCACCTCGAAAGTTAATATGAAAACATTGAGAACCCTTCTCCGAGGCACAGCTTGTGCGTGTGTGTGCTTTATGAGAAGATTTATCAAACTGCAACACTTGCAGCAGCATCAGTTGCAGCACGAGGAAGATTATGTTTGCAGGGCGAGGCTAAAGCAGAAGGTTGCTGTGGGGGGAAGGGAGTGCCAATTAGGCAAAGAATTATTCATGGGGCGTAAAAGAACCAAAACTTACGACTCCAGGGAGAACCAGAGAGGGGGCGAGAGAGAGAGCCAGAGATAAGGGAATGAGGAGCGTTTTGTGTACATAACCAAGATAAACATAAAGTTAACACACACACACACACACACAAACACACAGAAGAGAAGAGAGAGCGAGCAAGCGGCTGAGCGTGAGGCGAAAAAGCGTCAAAATGACCCTGGGGCAGGTTGAGATGAAACCAATGCCTCCAGTGATGGGCCTGCTTCCCCTCCGACATGACTTGCTTTCGCTTCGCAGTTGGCCAAAACCAAAAATCAAAACGCTGATGAGCAGGCAAATGAAAAAGTTGGCCAGAGCCAAAGTAAAACACAAAAAGCCAGAACTAGGAGTCATCTCCCGCCTCTAGACGGGCTGCATTGCCCGTTGCCACACACACACACACACACACACACAACTTCTGCGCCCTCGTCGTCGTCGAAGTCGACGTCTTTCGCCCAAAGGGTCCAGGAACTGAGGCAGGAGTTGGAGCTGAAACTGGAGGAGATGGAGCTGTTCTGAAGCTTTAGCTGGAACTGCGGCATATGGGAAATCAGTCCACGCTGCGCCCTGCGCCCTGTGCCCTGCACTGTTGCTGCCGCTGCCGCTGCCGCTGCTACGAAAATTGTTAGCCAAAGTTGCTGAATGTGTGGGCCATGGCAAATTGTACAAATATATGCGAAATATATATAAGGGAGATATGTGTTTGTGTGCGAGTGTGTGTGTTTGTGTGAGTAGAAACGAAGTCTGGGGAAAAGTTGAGTGAGTGAGTAACTGGAGTCCCGGCATACACTGAAGCAGCAGATATTAAAACGCTGCAAGGCTTTCAAAAATAAACTTTGAAAAATTTATTAGAAAATATTAAATAAAAACGACGATTGCGCTGCATATGGCTCACTCAGCATCAGCATCAGCAGGACCAGATGGATGAGGAGGGGGCTCTACATATGCAGAGCAAACATTACTCAGGCAACTCGCTAGCTGGCAGACGACTCCCGGCACAGGCCACATGCCACATGCCACATGGCACAGGGCACAGAGTAGAAAAATTGTACTAGCAGCAAGAACAACAGCAGCAGCACGACGACGACGAGGATGACAAGGAAAACATAAATATACTCAGAGGAGCGTATAATACTATACGAGTGTGCATATGTATCTGACGGGTGACGGGCATAGGAGTGTGTATCTGTATCTCCACCTTGAGATAGCATGTTTTTATTTCTGCTAAATTCGAAAATTGAATTGTAAGTCAAAAGCGCAAAGGATAACGCAGGGAAAACGTTGCAAAATTTCCGTAAAAGCAAACATTGCGCATACGCAGCGTTGTGCTATGTGATGGATGAATTGGTTATTGTAGCAGTAGCGGGAGAGGAGGGGGAAGATGAAACAGAGGGCGAGCAATGGAGCTGCAGTCCCAGTGATTGCCTGTGATACTTAATCAAGTGTACATAATAATTACCAGCCAAATTTCCGCTTGAACAGAGCTCAAACAATGATGCAGCCATTCGAGTCCGAAACCATTCAGATATCCTCTCGAGTCCTGCAACTGGCAGTGGCAGAGGCAGAGGCAGGCCTAATTGGTGCAATTTGAGTACCGCATATCGAAGCCAGTAGCCGCAGCCGCAGCCACAGCGCCAGATGCAGATGCAACACAAAAGCAACCAAAACAATATGCACTTGCCGTTTTCAATGGCAGCGACGGCAGGTGCAGCACCCATAGAATTCGGGTACCAAAGAGGGTACTCCAAGGGCATGCACGTACTGCGAATAGGAGGTGATTACATGTGGGACTCAGGGTAAAGGAAGTAATAGTGGAAGTAGATGATTGAAGCTAATTTTACACTCCGCTACATGCAGAACGATTAGATGTAATAATACAGATTTAGGAAACTAGCAATTAACAACGAAACAATCAGTGGAGTAGCTGGTAGTGGAGTAGTATCATAACTTTAAATGGAATTAAATTGTTGATCTTAGTGTTCCCCTGACCTGCGTACACTGATTTGAACCCTATCAGAAGTTCTCAAGGAGATCCATTAACACATCAACCATCTCCATTAACAGGACAATCGATAGTCGTGGCTCCACATTGAAGAGTTGCATGCTGCTGAGTGGCAAATTGCTGCGCTATGTTGATGCTGGTAATGATGCCGAATTGCAGCTTAATTAACACACAGCGTGTTAAAAGCTTTTGTGCTCCTGCTGTAGCGCAGACCTTCGACGGACAGGCAGCCATTCAAATTCAGCCCCAGCCGCAGTCGCAGTCGCAGTCGCAGTCGTAGCCTTTGACTATTGGCACGTAATGGAAATCACTTTGCCGCCGGAGAAGAAGCAGATGCAGCATCGGGGAGGCACAAAGAGGCAGTGGCAGGAACAGTAGCAGTAGCGGTGGCAGGTATAGACCATGTAAACGCGAATCCAAGTAGCTGAAGCCTGAATCCGCAGAATGAAAACAAATTAGCTGCTGAAGCCGCAGTGGAGCAGGAGGCACCCGGGCTCTGCCCGACAATTGGCGGGAAGAGAAGGAAAAGCAGGAGGAAGAGGCCTTGCCTGCCGCGAATTGTGGCACAGCCAAGCAAGCAAACAGACAAACAAACGAGACTTTGACTGCGACTCCGCCTCTCGCACATGTCGAGGGCACTTTTTGTGGCAGGCATGCAAAAAGCAAAGGGAAACGAGCACAAGATGAAACCAAAACCAAAACCAAAAACCAGTTGCTTCTACACGAGGCACGAGACACAGCCGCTGAGAGAGAAAGAGAGATAGTGTGAGCGAGAGGGAAGACAAGCGAAGGTCGCTCCTTGCTCCTCCCCCTTCTGTCGGCTTCGCTATTTGAATACGATTCCGCAGAATGCAGCTCTCTCGCTTTGAACTTTGCCTCATGACTTGGCTCCGGCTCAATGGACGGACGGACGGACAGACGGAAGAACGGAGGACCGTCGATTCCCTTGCTAAACAAAAATTTGCTGTGCTGTATGTACTCTGCCCCGGGGGTCATCTTTTGGCCGCTTAGTTTTCGACCAGCCACAATACAACCTACCAACCGACCAACCGGTCACAGCTGCCCCAGCTCCATCCCCCGTTCCCATTCCCTGCTCCATCCCCTACCTCCATCTGCCACAGCACCATCGTATTTTATAGCCTTTAAGGTAGGAAAAATAATGCGACTCGTTCTCGTCTGCACACATAACTCAGCCGCGGGCTAAGGTTGCCCAAAAGCGCCTCCGGGGGATTGGGTATGATTTTTTCGCCTCTCTCCCTCGGAGACCCTCCCCTCTCCACCCCTCTCCACTCCACTCCACTCCTCTTCTCTTCTTACTTTTGTTTATTTCTCCTTTGGTGCGGGCACAGAGAGCACTTGAGGCGCATAATTTTTTTTTTAAAACAGTCTTCGTTTATGGCGCACAATTTCTGACTTGGCATGTGGGAGAGACGAAAATCAGCTGCCTCCGGCATTTTTGGCCAAAACCAAACGAACAACAGCAGGGGCAACACCGGGGTAGGGCAAGGGAACAGGTCTGGTAGCATGCAACTTGGACTGTAGACGCTGTTGTTGCGGTTGTTGTGTGTCAAAAATTCGTTTATTACAGAATCTTTTTTAAACTAATTTATTGGCCAGCAGCTTCGAGGCGGTCTGGGATTTTGTTGGCAGCGGATGAAGGGTTTTTGCTCACCGTTTGGGGCAGGAGGAATCCACCGTCAACGGTGATCGTTGATCCAATGCAACAAACGGAGTCCTGTGCGGGGGAGAGAAATCGAAAGAGATGCATTAGTGACATGTTAGGAATGGAACTTTTAAGAGTAAGAGTGATCTTTCGCATAGCACTAGAGGATCTCCAAAGAAACATCCAAACAAGAAAGCATTCTCTTTCTTCTTTCACATAATAATTCATTCAATTAAATGCTTTCTAATAATGTCTAGCACCAATGAAAATTATAACGTTCGTGATCGTCAGCTGGGGTTATTGATAGATATTGAACAGACAGATGATTATGATATATGGAACTCACAAAAACGTCGGTATATTTAGGAAATGCACTTTAACTATTTTTTATTACAACGCGCGCGCAGACAATAGATTTTGGCCTCCAATATGGATCTGTAGATCGTGCTGGTCTCGTCTCTGGCTTCTGAATAAACGTTGATGAAATATCAAATAAGCGCGCGAAGCCGCAAACACTCTACCACACGCTATCTCTCGCTTAAATGTTTACTTCCGTTTCCGCTTGGGGCGAACGCGAAACCGTTTGAATGTAGCCGCTGGTGTTTCCTATTTTCGAGCGCTTTACCTTACTTGCATTCGCGGCTGTTCGTTATTTTCTGAATTCAGAAACAAATTCTATCTTTGCTGTTCCGCGGCCCAAACATGTTTGATTCATGTTCACGAGTTTCGGAGCGGCAAGGCCGGTTGCTGCTCGGCTCGACCGGGTTGCGTTCGAGCTCGAGCTCGAGTTTGAGTTCGAGTTGCGCCCCGCCACCCCGTGCGGGTGGAGTTCTGTGGCGTCTTCTGTACGGTGTTCGTTTAGCAAAGAGACGACCTTGAGGGAGAGCGAGCGAGAGAGAGAGAGAGAGAGAGAATGTTTCCACTATGTCTGCGTGAGTGTGTGTTTGTGTGTGTGAGTGTGAGTGCTGCGTGCGAACGTTTAATAGTCTATTTCCGGTTTAAGTGCTGCCACTGTTCTCGCTGTTGTGGCATGCAACATAAGCCGATGTGGCAATTAACATGGTAACTGTAAATAGAACAATTGGCCTGGCTTACAAATCGTTGAATGGATTAAAATCGAGTGCGATTGTGCGGGTGTGTATGCGAGTGGGAGGACAATTCATGAGGCAGGGACACATCTGATGGATGCATGGATGGATGATATATGTACAATGCACCTACATATATACCCATTTCCAATAATTGTAAATATCAAAGCCTGATGCGTGTTTGTTTGTGTCTGTGTGACACTCTTTCTATGTACTTTTGCCTGTGTATGGGTGTGAGTGCGAGTGTGTGCTTCTGTTAATGACAAAGCATAGAACGCTGGGGCCGCCGGCCAAGCGAAATGAAACTTTGTGCGGCATCAGCTCCAGAGACTTTGAAGCAGAAGAAGCAGCACCAGCAGCACCGGCACCGGCACGAAGAACGGGGCAACAGCCAACGGCGCCCGAGGGCACAAAACGAGCGACGACTGCGACGACGAGGACGGAGGCAGCTGAAATATTTTGTTGCCCCCCGGCAATGCAAAGAAAAACTTGTGATAAATATGCCCCAGGCCATGTTTCAAAACACAGCCAGAGAGCAAGGAGGGAGAAGTAGAGACAGGCAGGGTAGAGAGAGAAACAGAGGGAGAGAGAGAGAGAGAGAGAGAGAGAGAGAGAGCGAGAGAGAGCGTTGGGCAATGAGCGGGCTAGTGGGAGTACTCCGAGGCCGGCAGTTAGGCAGCCTGTAATTAAAATGAGTGCAAACTCTTGCCCAACCACCCACCTATATATGTACCCACATCCCCACAACGCCCATGGACCACCCACTCGTCTTCCTGCTACCCCCTCCCCCCACTCAGCCCACTCTTGCAGCACTGTCGCATCATTTTTCATTGGCAATTGTTTGGTTGCATCTCCCCGGGTCACATTCATTTCGTAGTATATGCACCGCTCCGTCATAATATCCCACTATTTGCCCACCGCTGCCGTGACAGCTGCTGCATCGCTCGCGCTCCTGATCCATCCCAGAGATGGTCGCGTGACACGCAGCAATCCCCTCTGGGGCAGACTCCCGTTAGTTCGTCGCTCACGCTGCCATATCCATCCCCCGTGTCCACTGACATTTCAATTTTTCATATTTTATCAGCGACTTCAGCCCACGACGAGTGGAAATTGTTGCAATTTTATCGCTCATTTCACTCATTCAGCCTGGCTGGAGGGTTGAGGGACGAGGGGGTGAAGGTAGGGGGGCGGGTCTTTTATTGTTTCAAGCGTGAGCTCGTGGGTGGGGGCGAGAGTGGAGTAGTCGTATGGCATGGGCATGGGTCTCCTTTTTATTTTGATGTCGCTTTGGGTTTTTGCCATTTTAAATATTTTTTTAATCACAAGCTCACGCATACACTCACTCAGCTCACCCGCACATACCCACACACACACAGACAGGCATGTATACGGTCACTCACACATAAAGACTGATGTATGTATGTATGTATGTACATACATACATACGTCTCATACATATGGCAATACCAATATTTCAAGCCAATTTGCTGCAGTTAGCCGCGAGCGGACTGCCAACAAAATAATTCGACAAAATGTGTGCGGCGCGCTTTATGCTTTATTGTTTGGATCGCCCGAGGGGGTCACAGAGAAAGAGCGGGTCTCTGCGAAGGGGGGATGGGAGCAGAGCAAAGCTGCTGCATCTGCAGGACTCCATTATGCACATATGTATGTATGTACGTACATATGCATGGGTATGTGTATGACATGATTATACGTATGCTCGGGCATCACCGAAAGAGTGCAGAAATCAACGGCGACATTTCATATCCCACTGCGTTTTGTAATAATTTGTTGATGGCTTTTTTAAAGTAACCCATCTACCGTCCGTGTATGCCATACAGTTGCATAATTATTCATGACTTGTGCATTTGCGTGTTAATCAATATGCAGGGGGGGGAGGAGGAGGCCGGAGTATCTGAAAACAAACATTTAAATGCCAACGCATATGCTGGGAACATCTGCCCCGTGCCCCATCCTACTCCCACTCTCCTCGACAGCACCAGAACATCATCAGCATCATTATTGTGACTTTTTATTATTACTATTATTAATATGAATGTGTTTGGCTGTACACACAGAACATCGCTCACGCGAACCACATAGATACCGCTCATCAGAGGGAAGCTGTGTGTTTTTTAAACAAGTAAAAAGTTTCTTAAGTCAATAGTTCGACTACGGGATATCCCTTTTACTGCTAGCAGCTAGTGAACTCTGTGACAATGAGGAAAGCTAAAGGTAAACACTTTCATACTAACCAGCGACTTGTTCCCTTCCTTATTCTGGTTGCAAATGTGGCTACCACAGGCTACCACTGGTCTCCAGTGGGTCCTTCTTCCCCAGATCTTATAGTTCTCTAACATCCAGCTATCTGGCAATACTATCTGAAGGAATTTCCGCCCTGCCTTTGCAATTATTTACACGAATGCAATATACCCTGGTTTTGCACAGAGTTAAGGGGTATAAATATATATACATATATGTATATTGTATATATTTTTTTATTTTTGTATTATTAACGATACTTGGCGAACACCACCAGCAATAACAGCAACACCCATAGCTGCAAAAGCAACAGCAAACAACAACACAAATATGTGTATGTGTGTATGCACGAGTATATGTAGTGTGGATGAAAAGGCTCATAAAATTCACAATGTCTGGCCGCGGGGCTTTTACTTAATGATGCCATTTTTGCCGCCGCGGCCTGAAATTCGCGTTAAATTTTTAACGCACGAACTGCAGCAGCAGCGGGGCAGAGGCCCCATATCAAGCTTCAATTCATCCATCCATCCAGCCACTCGTCCATATGGGCCACAACATTTACATTAACATTTGAATGGTAATCATTTTGCAGCCAGTGCCCCATAACGATATTTATTTGTATAGCTCTGCCCAAAGCGGAGATAGAGGGAATGTTGTGAGCACAAGACATCGAAATTGCAGTTCCAGCGATAAGCACGGGTCTGATCAAATCACACATCTCTGGAGGAATTAAACGATTCAGCGAGGTCAGGTTAGTGGGCGTTTCTTTCGACAAGTATTTGGGATATTCCTTAAACGTTTGTCTTATCAAAACTTGGCGATAACACTCCTTATAACAAGCTTAATACTTATAAGTGATGTGATCCTACAAGCTACAAGATCTTACAAGCCATTCAGAGATTTTGCTCTCCTTTGGGTACTCCTATGGCATTATATTCCCCCCTCCCTTTGGTGAAAGCTCTCTTGGGAGAGTTTGAAGTTTGCAACGGTTTGAAGCATCAATTTTAATTGTGGACACTTATCATCTGGGTGGGTCCGGGTGATGGGGCCAGGAGTCGATTGCCGACATCCTTTTGTCATTAGCAATGCGTGACACTTGTCATTAACTGCATAATGATTCATTCCTATGCAGTTGGCTAACTTCTCTGACTCTGACACACACACACACACACACACACACAAATGAGTGATAATTGTGTGAGTGTTCAGTATGTGTGTGTGTGTGCATAATTTTAATGATTTACAAACTAGCCCGTTGGCGCTTTTAGCTCGAAAACTGACAGTTGATATCCAAAGACAAGCAGAATGAGGGGAATATAGCGCAAAAAGAAGATATAGCCGCGAGTTATGAATGGGAGAGTGGACCAGAAGGGGAGGGCAACATACTGAAAGAGTGGGAGAGAGTGAGAGAGCGGGGACCAGTTCTTTATTTCCAGGTTTCGAAGGGTGGAAGGGGTGCGCCAAAGAGAGATGGCTGCAAGAACGGAAAAGGATTGCTTGAACATGCAACCAAGAATGCCCCAGGCACTGCAGAGGCAGAGGCAGCAGCAACAGCAGCAACAGCAGCAACAGCAGCAGAGGGACAAAAAATGTGGAAGTTAAAAATAAGTTGGGGGCTTGGGCTCGGGCTCGGGCTCGGGCTCGAGTGGCTGGCGGCCTTTGCCGTTCGCATATAATGAGGGTCTCGTGGAGGCATGCCCCGCCCCCTACATCTGCGTGGTCTGGTTGTCACCTGGCACCAGCTGCTGGACACACATTTTGGGGACAAAAACTGTGATTCTGTGGCAAGATCGTAATTATAGGGAAGGCTTTTTGGTGTTGCTTTTAAATTATATCAATCCGGCTCCAGCTGTGGCAACAGTTGTTGCAATGCACTACCGCCGCCCCTGCCGCCATTTCAGACCCTAATTTGACTCAACACTTGTGCAAACACGTGTCTTGCCTCCCTCAGTCCGTCGCCCCCGCTCCGTGCAACAAGTTTCTGGCAACAACACAAGCCAAAAACAAAAAATCAACTGCTATTCACCTGTCCCGTTATCCGTTGTTCCAACCGTAACACAAACACTGATCCAGATACAAAGATACAAACACACACAGCCACAAAGCACACGCTCAAACACTCTCGAACAGAAGTGCTCCACCGTGGAGCAAAGACGAAATGTGTTTGTGGGGTATAAACAGTTGGTATGTGGGGTCTGTCCAACATGTTGGATGCAGCATGCTGCGAGTCCGTGGTGCCCCAGGATGTTATCAGCCGCAACATAAACACAACCGCAACAACAACGACGACGAACAGCACCAGCAACTAAGTATCCATATCCTCTCC